CTCCATTGAGCAATTGTAGAGGAGTGCTAGGGGTAAGGATGCAAGCTGGATTTGCCTGAATGCCTTGTTGCCACCATGTCATGGGTTTACAGTAGGGTAGTCGCAGACCTACCCCAGCACTCCCTGACAAAGAGGCATACCCGTGCAAGAAACGTCGCAGAATTGAGCCTGAACTAACAAGGCATAGGCGTTTGAAACATAATGGCGTCGAGAATCGGTATTGCCATAATTATGTTGAAACTGCGAGGGACGGAGAGTGCATGGAGAGCGGAGGTAACAGGTGGGGGAGAAGGGCAGTGGGCTGACAACAAGGCCAAGAAGGCTCGCTGACGGAGGGCCAGAAAATTGAAGTCAGGATAAACCAGTGTCGGATCACGTCTGGAGCACTATCGTACGGCTGGTACTGCACGAATTCGTTTATGATCCCTCAGAAGTGAGCAACGAGCAACGTTCCAGGCAACATGGTGCATCCGCCACCCTGCTGTGAGGCACTGAGTTGAGTGTCCTTAAAACCCTTCGACTTCCCTGTATGGAGTACTGCACAACTCGTCAACTGGCCCAGGGCCCAGATTTCCATGCGCTCTCGGGCGCTCCTGGTGCTTGCTGCGTCATTTTTCTGGAGGCCTTGTGACCCCACTCGCCCAACATGGTGTGAGGCTCGCTCTGGAGTCCTCTCGGGCCGTCTTGAAAGTTTTGTGAGCCGCCCCAAGAAGCCACCAGTTACAGCTGCGATAAGAAGTTGCAAATAATGGAGCCTTACCGCCCAAGGCGTCCCAAGAGACGGCCCCTAAGCCCCCAGGAGGGGCCCTGGGGGTGCCGAAAGGGGCGGCGGCGCCATGCGGAGCCTGCCTCTGGGACCGCAGGTGGGCCTCCTATGGGGTCCCGAAGCGCGTGAGGGGTGTGCCACAATGGCGCGGCGCCGCCGTACTCGGCGCCCAATGAGACAGCAAGTGGAGCTTCATATGGGGCAGCAAGACATGAGACGGGAGGGGCGCCGCTGTGCGGTCGGGCGCACTGAGGCCGTAGTTGGAGCCCCCTGTGGGGCCAATGCCAACATGTGCGGGGCGACGCCATGCGGCACCATGCCGCCGAAGCCTTCGGCGGAGCTCCCATTGGGGCCACGAAATGTGTGAGAGGTGTGCCGAAATGGGCGGAGCGACGCTTTGCGGTACCATGCCAGTGAGGCCTTTGGTGGAGCACCCTCTGCCGGGCAACGACACGTGTGAAAAGTGTGCCGGAATGGGCGGGGGCGAAATGCCGCACCATGCCAGTGAGGCTATGCGGCACCGTGCCTGTGAGGCACTCGGTGGAGATCCCTGTGGCGTCACAGAACGTGCGAGGGGCGTGCGGAAATCTGCATTCGGAGAGCAGAGGAATGAGGAGGGGGAACAGGATCAGGAGAAGGAGGAGACTCGGGCGCTGCTGGATCAAAACGACGACCCCACTCAACACAGGAGGATTAGGAAAAAGAACGACGATGTTGCTTCCGAAGCCTTTCGGCTTCATATCGCCTCGGGCGGGAAGGCTTCGGGGAACCACAATAAACCACCGACAAGAGAGCCCTCAGATGGCTCCGAGACTGCCGACCAAAGAGACGAGGTCGAGTTTAGGACCCACGCAAATTCCTATCGCGCACTGAACTAGCATGGGTCATAAACTCACCCTAATACCGCCCGAAGACGGCCCAACGATCACCCGACGACGACAAGATCTCCCCAAGGTGCCCCAAGAGGCCCCAAGAAGTCTCCAACAGACGCACGAAGAGGTATCCAGCAAGGCGTTCAGAGAAGTGTGGCTTGATCCCGATGCCTGGTGGCTCACATCGCCACGTTTAAGATTCAGAGAGCCACTGTAAACCACTAGCACCCCCCCAAACCATCTCAAGAAAGCGCCCCCACATGTGTTTTGTCAGCGCGATTCTGCAAGGGAGGAGGAGGACTGGACACAGCAGCACGATGATAAGTTCGGTGGCACACTCGTACCAAACCACCAAACTACTTCGAGCGCCGTGCACACGAATGGCATTAAAGCCTCCAGCCACGTCGAGAGGCTGTCCTGCGAGCGATGACGCGAATGAACGAATACTTTGTGGCGGCAGGCAGATCTGAGTGAACATCGGACAATGGACCACTGTACATCCAGGGGCGCTGGGCATGGACACGGGTGACCCCGCATCATCATTCACCGCGAGAAAGAGAGAGGCAGGGGAAAGGAGGAGGAGGAGGAGGAGGAGGAAGAGGAGGAGGAGGACACCCACGAAAAGAGCATTGACTGCGGCACTAAAGCTGACTGCTTCTGGATACGCATTGTCCTACCACGAGCGCAAGAACATCGACAAGGCATGCTGCCACTTCCCACGGCAACCGCACGCTATGATAACACCCGTATAGCAGTATCGAGTTGGTTCCAAGCTGCCGTGCTGCATCTTCATAAATGACGACAGCGCGTGCTGACACTCCCCTTGCCTTCAACACGCCGTTATCCCAATACTGCAGCAGGTGACGGTGGGCTTCATCCTCGACTCCCGCACCTCGCAGAGCAACGAACAGAGCATCTGCCGCTGCTTGCATGTCTCGCGCGCGCGCTGATCACAGCGTTGTAGTTGATTGACATGGGTTTGATCTTCACCTCACGCATCTCGCTGAGTAGTCTTAGAACCCGCTGCCACTGCATACAATTCCCGCACGCGAAGATCCCAGCGCTGTAGCTGACAAAGGTGGGCTCGACCTTGACCCCACGCATCTCGCCGAGCAGTCCTAGAGCCCGCTGCCACTGCTCGATTCTCCCGCGCGCGCTGGTCCCAGCGTTGTAACTGATAAAGGTCGGCTCGACCTTCACCTCACGCATCTCGCTGACCAGTCCTAGAGACCGCTGCCAGTGCTTGCCTTTCTCGCACGCGCTGAGCCCAGCGTTGTAGCTGATCAAGGTGGGCTCGAGCTTCACCTCGCGCATCTCGCTGAGCAGTCCTAGACCCGGCTGCCCCTGCATGCCTTTCTCGCACGCGCTGACCCCAGAGCTGTCGCTGATAAAAGTGGGCTCGACCATCATTTCGCGCATCTCGCTGAGTAGTCCTATAGCTCGCTAGCACTGCCCGCCCTTCTCGCACGCGCTGATCCCAGAGTTGTAGCCGATAAAAGCGGGCTCGGCCTTTACTTCGCGCATCTCGCTGAGCAGTCCTAGAGCCCGCTGCCACTGCTCGCCTCTTCCGCGCGCGCTGATCCAAGAGTTGTAGCTGATATAGTTGGGCTTGACCTTCATTTCGCGCATCTCGCTGAGCAGTCCTAGAGCCCGCTGCCACTGCCCACTTGTCTCGCGCGCGCTGATCCCAAGGCTGTAGCTGACGACATCGGGATCCAGCTTCGCATCCCACATGTCGCTCAGCAGTGACAGCGCCTGCTGTCACTGGCCCTTTTTGCACACAGTAATCCCAGCATTGTAGCTGACGAAGGTGGGCTCGAGCTTCACCTCCCGCATCTCGCTGAGCAGTCCTAGAGCCCGCTGCCACTGCTCGCCTTTCCCGCACGCGCTGATCCCAGCGCTGTAGATGATTTGACAGGCCCTGGCCTATCGCAACCTTTAGACCTAGAGAAGAAAAAAATAACAAATAGAACAACAATATTGTTTTAAGAACAACAAAAAGAATTCAAGAATTATCAAATTGAACCCGCGCAATGTATTCAAATACATATTGAATAAATATATGCAGTATGTATATTGCATGCGCCGACCTTCCAACCAACAGCGGGGACGGAGAGGCCGAAACCAACCGACTTTCCGACCGAACAACCAACTTGCCACCCCAAGCAAACAGGCATCAAACCAACTAGCCGACCAACCGACCCAGCCAACAAATCAATGAGCCAGCCAACCAACCAACCAGCTATCAGGCCAGGCAACCAGCCAGCCAACCGAACCCAACCAACCAGCCAATCACTGGGGGCGGACAGGGCCGAAAGGAAGGATGAGGCTGACCTGGCGGTGGCGGCAAGCGGCGAATGCTTTCCGCCGTGCCCGGTCGGCATCGGCGTATGAGGAGTAGCGGGGGCCCATCGGGTCCTCTGGCATCCCGCGCGAAGCCTCGGGAAGGCGGCCCGGGGGCCCGAAGCCGCCCTGAACTCGCGAACGGCCCGGGGAGGGAGGGCGGGGCGCGGCAGCGAAGCGGCGGCTTCGAGGGGGGCAGCGCCATGACGAACGACCTACTTCAGAAACGCCGCAGACTTGAGGATGCCGAATCTGCAGCTTTTCAGCCCCAGGCCCCAAGGCACCGCGGCCCCAGGACGCGGTCAGTTTCGGACAACGGGGCCTCCAACGCAAAAGTCAATCTAGAAAATCCTGGAGGTCAGGGGCGGAAGGCCGATAACCCGACCTCGCGAGGCGGCTCTTGCCCCTCCCCCCCTCGGAATAATTGCTGGAGGGTGGCTGGTTTCAAAATCGTGCTCTCGCTCGCGCGTGCGCCCTGGGGCCCGCTGCGCCCCCTGAAGCCCCCAGAGGCCGCGCGGGGCCCCCACGCGCCCTGCACTTCATTTCGGCGCACCCCTCGCGCGGATCCTCGACCTTGGGGCGGCGGAAGGCGGGCGGCCCGAAGGGTCCAGAACCGCCCAAAAGATCCTGCTTCCCCAAGCGGCTGGGACGTGGAGTTCGGTCTTTACTCACGCTTAGCTCTCCGCCGCCTCCTCCCTCCCCCTTCCTTTTACCCTCATCCTCCTCCTCCCATCCTCTTCCCCCGTCCCGCTCCTCCCCCTGCTGGAGCTGCTCCTCATCCTCCTCCTCCTCCTCCTCCTCCTCCCCCCACCTCCTCGCCCCTCCTTCTCTCACTTCTTTTATCGTCTGGCAAGTCCCGTCTTGCTCCTGCCGCGTCCCTGCGCGGCGGGCCCCGACACGCAGACGGCGTGCCCACGAATGCGCCGCCTGCTCGGCGCCCTCCGGCAGGGGCCTCTCCAGCGAGTCCGCGAACGACTCCAAGGAGGGCCCCAGCGTTCTCCACCCTTCCCCTTCACGGCCTCCCGCAACGCGCGGATCGCCTTCTTGCGCTCCACGCGGCTCCTCATCTCGCTGATCTCGCCGGTCAGCTTGAAGAGGGCGAAGGTCGTCGTGACGGTGTCGACGCCTAAGGCCAGCGTGCTCTTCACCATCTTCATGAAATTCGGATCGAACGTCGCCGATCCGCCAGATCTGGAGCTCACGATCTTCATTGTCTTCTGCCACTCACACAGCATCTGCGAGTGGCCGCTGAGATCCTGGAACTTGGCGCTGCCCAAGAGGCTCTGGCGAACGTTCTCGTTCACGTCATCCATCAGGGTCTCCTCGCGCGGAGAGGGGCCCCCACTCCCCCCGGGCCCCCCCCTCCCCCCTATCGCCCCTCTCACCCGCGAGAGCGGGGAGAGGGATAGAGAGACACGTTGCACCCCGCAACTGCGGATCGGATAAGAGCGAGGGCAGCGGGAGAGGGGGCCCCATGAGCCATGTGAGGCCTACCTATATGTGAAATTGAAGCCCTCTTGGATCCCCCTGGGGCCCCTCTCGGGCCCCTCTCGGGCCCTTCTTGGGCCCCTCTTGAGCCGCACTCGGAGCAACAAAAATCAGCATCTACGCCGCGGATTCCCACTTCAGCCGCGCATCGAGGGACACTGCAACACCGCTCGGCCCCCGCGCACTTAGAGGGAGGCGGTGGAGGGAAGGAATCGGGGGAGGGGAGGGTCGGGCATGGGGAGAGGTGGGGATCGGGGGAGAGGGGTTGGAGAGGAGGGGTCGGGGGAAGGGATGGCTGGACTAGGATGTGGAGGGCCCAGCCCTGGACCTTGTAGACCTGCCAGCCGCGCGGGCACGCGCCCCCCACGTCCTCCAGGAGCTTCTGCGCGGACGCCCTCCACTTCTCCGCCCAGATGCCGAGCTCGCTCTCCAGGGCGTTGATGCAGGCGTTGGCGAGGTCGACTGGGCCCACGCAGCCGTCGAACTTCGGGGGGTGGACGGCGTCCGCGGGGGCGCCGCCCTCGACGCCGTTGAAGCACCTGGCCAAGGAGGGCCTCGCCAAGCTGGTGCGCGCCGAAGCGAGCGTGGAGCGGGCCGCCACGAACGCCTCCGAGTCCTCGCTCGAGAACGTCGGCCCCTGGGCCCCGCGCCTCGCCTTCATGTTCGCCCGGGTGGAAGCGCAAACGTGGCAGTCCTGTAGGACCTGGAACTGCTGCGCGAGCTTCGCGTCGCCGATGCTGCCGACGAGGTTGGCCGTCGCCACCACGTCCTTGCAGAGAGGGCGCACTTGAGCAGGCACGGTGTTGCTCAGGAACTCCGCTGGGATGCCATCCCAGATCTCGTCCAGGGCGCTCTTCACGATCGGGTCCTCAGCGATGCACTTGGCGACCTTCTCGGCGACGTGCCCCTCGTTGTGCGCGGCCTCCAGAGCCTTGGCAAACGCCTCCGAGCAGCGTGCCAGAACCTGGGGGGGGGGCATCGGCGACGACGATGGGCCATCGTCGTCGCCGATGGCCCATCGCCATCGTCGACGATGGCCCTCGTGGCGATGGGCCATCGTCGACGGCCCATCGCCACGAGGGCCTGTCTCTCCGCCCCCTCGCCGACGAGGGCGGGGGGCGGGGACGCGGGAATGAAGGGTGGCGAGGTCTGGAGGGAGCGAGCGGGAGAGGGGAGGGGAAGGCATGGCGACGACGACGGTGCAGGCGACCCCACGACCTGCGCATCGGCGCCGGGCTCACATATCATCTTCACCCAGCCGAACTTCATCTCGAAGTTGTAGAAGAGCCGCGGGAACAGCGAGGCATCCTCCCTGGTGACGCTCGACGTATCATTCTTGATCTGGGCCAACACCTTCAGCGCATCGGGCATCTGCGACAGCAGGGTCGACATCTGCACGCGAGCCCCGTCGATCTGCTCCCAGGTCACGCGCGTGGTGATATCCAACTTGCTGCACAACGCCTTGAACTGCGCGGCGTGGGGGATGGCCGCCAACGGACCCTCGAGGTCGGCGAGGGCGCTCCTCGCGATGCTCTCGGGCCACGGCTCGGCAGCGTTCTCCGCCGCAGACTTGCACAGCCAATGCCCCCACTCGAAGAACCTCTCGTACAAGACGAAGACGTGCTTGATCATGCTGCCCGCCGCCTCCGTGAACATCTGATCGGTCCGCTTGATGTCCGCCTGGCCCAGGCGACGCAGCTCGTCAATGACTGAATCCAGGTTAACCTTCAGGGCCGACGCCACATTGGGCAAGTCGCTGCAACGCTCCGGGAGCGATCCCACAAGCGCGCACCGCGGCAATGAACGTCTCGATCTTCGCATCGCTCTGCACCAAGCTCTCGACCCTCAAGGTCATGCGCTGGACGAGCTTGCGGCCCGGGGCGTACAGCGAGGGGCAGTTCGCGATCTTCTTCTGCTTGTCGTTCACAATCGCCATCGCCGAGACAAGGTCGGCCCGCGACCAGGCGTGCAGGGTCTCCACTGGGGACGTCGCACCTTTCACCAGCATCTCGAGAGCTTTCACCTGCTCCTGGACGTCCCCGGTCAGGTCGGCCTTGTCGAGCGCGTCCGGGCACTCGAAGAGTTTGGCGATCTGCGGCTCAAAGCCGTCCTTCAGCTCCAGACAGTCAATCAGCTTGTCAAGAATCATCTCCGAGATAAACTGCTCCCAGGCGGCTGGGGCCGCCTCTGTCATGCCAACGCTGTCGCGCGACAACATTGGCCAGAACGTTGAATCGGCGGGGCATGCCGACACAGCGAACTTCTTTTCCGACATGCGGATGAAGTCAGGCAAGAAGTCGGTCCTCGCTGCAGGCAGCATCTCAAGGAAATGGATCGCGTCCTTGATGGCGCCGGCGAAACCCGACGAATCCAGGCCATGCTTCTTCCACGCCGTGCAGATGGACAGGATGGATTTGGCAATCTTCTGTCCCAAGATGTGCGAGTCGTACTCCTGCCCAGGGCAGCCCAGGGTGGGCGGGCGCGCGGGCGAGGGATGCACGGGCAAAGAGGGGGGACTATGGGGAAGGAGATGGGCGGGGGAGGAGCAGCATGAACAGGGACACGAACGGGAGGAGGGGGAGGAGGAGGAGGAGGAGGAGAAGGAGGAGGAGGAGGAGGAGGAGGAGGAGGAGAAGGAGGAGGAGGATCACCGACGAAACTGGCAGGACAGCGAGCGGGCCGCCATTGTATTGCCCCGCAGGCTGAGACCCGAACTCCCGCCTACCTCGCTGAGTCGGCCAGGCCGACGCAATCACGCGGAGAGGACAGGGGGGCACGTCGCTGGCAGGAGGACGAGAGGGAGCATACGCAGGAACATGATGAGGAAGAGGATGTGGGAGGGAATGATGAGGTAGGACACACTAGTTGGGCACGTTGCTGCAAATGCTGAGCTAGGCATCGCGCTCGCACGCCAGCAGCTCAAGGGAACGGGGGGAAGGAGGCGACGAGGATGACGAGGGCGAGGCGGTCGACGACGAGATGGAGGTAGACGAGGATTAGGAGGAGTAGCAGCAGGAAGGGCAGAAGGACGATGACGAGGAGCTGGATAAAAAGGGCTGAGACGAGGAGGGGGCAGAGGGAATAGACCGGACAACTCAACTGGAGGCGGACGAGGTGGAGGAGGATGGGGGGAAGTCCAGAAAGGTGGTGAAGGAGGAGAAGCAGCAGGAGGGCGAGGAGGAGGAGGAGGGGGAGGAGGAAGAGTTCGAGAAGACATATTGGCAGCGACAGGTGGACGACGACGATGGCGAGGAGCAGCAGCGGCAGCACCAGGGGCAGTGCGAGGGGCAGCAGGGGGAAGAGGAGGAGGACGACGACGAAGACGACGAGGACGAGGGCGAGTAGGGGGGAGCGCAAGGTAGGCGAGGACGGGCAGAAGGAGGAAAGAGGAGGGCGAGGAAGAGGTGGAGCAGAAAGAGGAGCACAGGGGAAATGGAGGAGAAGGATGCATTAGAAACCCGTCGTCCTCCTCCACCTGGATCGTTGGGATCCTCTCCGCGTAGTCCTTGCACAACCGCTTGAGCCAGGCGACCATGCCCGCGTGGCCGCGGCCAAAGAACGTCTTGTCGTCCGCAGCGGCTTGATGGAACTGACTGGCCACCTTCTCCGTCTCCGAGACCAAGTTCCGCCTCTTCCTGCCCGCCTTGCCACCTGCGCCGCCGCCCGCTCCGGATGGGGCGGGCGCAGCGCTGGCCTTGGCCGCGGCCGCCCTGGGCTTGGCGGCGGGCCTGGCGGCCGACGCCGGGGGCCGGGCCCGCTTCGCCGACGCATCCTCGGCCTGCACCTCCGACGGCGAAGCCGCCGCTCCTGGCAGCGCGGGGACGACCACCTGCATGCCCAAGACCTGGGGCGGGCTGGTCATGGGGCGCGCGCCGGTCGCAGAGCTCGAACTCGGCGGCGAGGGCGAGGGCTGCGAGGCAGCCTGGGTGGGCCGCTTCGGCGCCCTAGCATCGGCGACGGCGTCCATGGCGGGCGGGGCCCTGACGCGCTCGCCAGCCCCGTCTGTGTGCGCCCCAATGTTCGTCGAGAGCTGCTGGGCGACATCAGCCGCGTGGGTGTCGGAGAGCGCGAGGCCGCCGTCGTCGGCCATCCTCGTGACGTCCACGATGCTCTGCTGGCACCGCTTCAACTTCTTCACAGGCGGCCCTGGGACTCTGACGTGCATGACCCCCTGGATCATCAAGATAGTGTGCCCCTTGCCGTTCGTGACGGGGTCCCCCATGCCGCCGTGGTACTCGTTCTTGTAGTACTCCAGCTCCACGACGTCGTCGTCATCCTCGAGGGAGACCATGGTGCGCTCGACGGTAGTCACGACGGCCTTCACCTCGTTAGCGCGCACATGGATGTGCCTGCTCCCTTGTTTCACGCACTTGTCCAAAATCAAAGACCGAACGTTGTTGAACTTCTGGAGGACGGCGTCGTCGGTGCCGCAGACGGTCATCAATTTCTCGAAGCTGCCCGTCTCGGGGGCGTGGCGGAAACCAGTGAACCATGACCTGTTACAATACCAGCACTTTCCGCCCTGTGTCTTCCCACAAACGGGAGGGCACGCCCAACACACGAACGAGCCCGGCCCATCCACTGGATCCTCGTCGGAGTCTCTCAAGTTGCAACCGATGCACTTGCGCCCGTCGGGCTGGGGCTGGTGCTGCGAGCCCCGGCCATCCACCTCGTGGACGCTCCCTCCGTCAGACCTCGACTTCCTCGACTTCTTACGCTTGGGCGACACGTCTGGCGCCGCGACAGACCCGAACAGGAAGTCGTTGTTGATCGACATCCCACGTGGAACGCTGGAACGCTGGCAGCGCACAAATCGGGGAAGGCGGCCAGGTCTGAACCTGAAAAAAACTTCGGGCAACCCTGAGTCGCGATGGGATGAGCAGCCCCACCAGCTCTGTGAGGGCGCAGGTGGTCTAGAGAGTTCCCTCTTCCAACCCCCTTCTTCCCCTTCGGAGAGGGCTCGCCCCTCCCCCGACCCTATCCCTTGGACCTGGACGGGCGATGCCGCGAGGTGTCAGAGGGTACTTCTTTCGCCCAAGATGGCCCCAAGAGGGCGTGGGAGCAGCCGAGATGGCCTCCAAGATGGCTCGAGATGGCCTAAAATGCCTCAAGATGGCTTCCAAGATGCCCCAAGAGGCCCCAGGAACGCTCCCAGACGGCTCAGAGTTGCCGAAGAGCTTGCCCCAGAGGCCCCGAAGAGGCCAAGATCACTCAATAGCCACAAGATCATATTCGTGTTTTTGGTTTCTCGCCGGTTTGCTTCCGGTGGCCATCCGAGGCCTCAAGATGGCTCCAAGGTGGCCCAAGGGCGCCCCAAGAGAGGCCCAAGAGAGCCCCAAGACGGCCCCAATAGCGCTGCAGGAGGGGCGAGAGAGGCGATCTCTGGGGTTCCCGAGGGGCAAGGCTGACTGCGACCCTCCCCTTCTTTGATGGAGCTCTTCCAAGATGGCTCCAAGAAGGCCCCCGAGGCCCCCGAGACAGCCCCAAGATGCTCTAAGGAGGCCCTCAAGGGGCCCCAAGAGGCCCCAGGAGGCCCCAAGAGGCCCCAAGATGGCCCCAAGAGCCCCCCAAGAGGCCCCCAAGAGGCCCCCAGAAAGATTCCACGCGGACATCCCAGCCCCCCCCCCCCGAGGCAACAAAAACGCCCAGGAGCCCCCCTGGACCGCCGAGAGACCCGATGCGCCCCCAGAAGCATCCAAGAAACGCCCAAGAGGTATCCCAAGAGATCCCGAGAGGCATCCAAGAAGCCTCTGGCCTTTTTGCTGGCCCTCCTCCTCCATCCTCCTCATTCTCCTCCTCATCATCCGATGTATCGCCCTTCTCCCTCCTCCCTCATCCATCCATCCATCCATCCTCAGCCTCCTCCGTCGAACGTTTCAGCTGTCCCCCTCTTTGCTCACGCACTTCCCACGTCACCTGGGCGTCGTTCCTGGATGGGCTGGCGCGGGTGCGCGAAGCGTCAGGAATTTCACCCCTGCAGCGCCGTGAAAGACCCCACCTGATTATACGTGCACACATGGAGAGGCCCTGGGGGGGAGACGCTGGCGGCGATGCCCCAGACATCCCGGCGACGACGACGACGACGACGTCGCCGACGACGACGACGACGACGGCGACGACGACGACGACGACGACGCGACGACGACTACGACGACAACGCGCTCGGCACGGGGCGTTTCCCACGGCGATGCCCTCGAGAACCATGGCCCTCGGATATCCGCGGCCCTCTTCGCGCCATCCAGAGGCCCCCTCGAGGCCCAGAGAGCGGGCGGGAACGCCGAAAAACCTCGACGACCGACGACGACGACGACGACGACGGAGGAGACGACGACGGAGAGGACGACGACGACGACGACGACGACGACGGCGGCGACGGCGACGGCGACGGCGACGGCGACCTGACGGCGACGACGACGATCTTTGTAGGTCACCCCCAGGGGCGCAAGGATAATCGCTCTTCGCTCGAGTTGGAGGGTTGCCTCTCTCCGAGGTTCGGGCGATGAGGGCGACGAATTGTTGCCCTTCTCCGAGGTTCGGGCGGTTCGGACTCATCCCGACGACGATGGCGATGCTTGTGACGACGAGGACCACGACGAGACGACAACGACGACGACGGCCATGGCCCGGGGAGGGGCACGAGGCAACCCTCGAGGATGAGGGGCTGGGTGAACACATCGATGGGGAGGGGGGGGGTTCCAGTATCCACGCATGCTCGTCTGTAAGGGGCGGGGGGCTGCTTAGCACACAGATCAGGCGCGATGCGGCATGAGAGCCCCCTCCAGGACGTCATCGCCACGTCGGCGCCCAGCCAACGCAGGAGGCGGAGCGACGAGCAGGGGAAGGAGGAGGACGAAGAAGAGCAGGGAAGAGCAGGGAGGAGCAGGGAGAAGCGAGGGTGGCAATGAGGAGGAGCAGCAGACGCAGCAGCAGCAGCAGGAGTAATATTAGGTAGACGAGAAGGCGGACCACAGGGAGGAATGGGGGAAGGGGCAGATGCAGCAGGAGAAGTAGGAGGAGCAGGAGGAGCAGGACGAGGAGGGAAGAGAAGGACGGGATGAGAAGTTCGGAGGCGCACTCTCCCCAACGCCCCCTCGAGAAACACGTCGAACCAGGCTAGCGGCGTACCTGGGAGCCCCCTCAATCGCTCGAGGAGTCGGCGCTCTCGGACTCGCCCTGCTCCTCGTCGCCCTCGTCGCCGTTGAGAGCGCTCGGGCCCTCGGCGTCGGCAGCCGCCTTGAACTTGCCCTGCGCGAAGAAGAGACACATCAACATCGGGAGGACGGCGAAGCCCGAGAAGGCGCTGCCGGCCAGGCTCACCAGCAGCGGGTCCTCGCACTTGTACGCATCCGGGTCATTCCAAAAGCTGTAGTCCCAGCCAATGATCGCCACGCACTCCGCACCACCGACAGGGCGAACGCACACCTCGCCCTTCCACAAAAAACGCACAACGGGCCTGGCCGCCGCAGTGATCGTCTGCATCTGCGTCCTCCACGGCGCGGCGAAGCCCCCCCCTTTAAAGACGCGCCCGAGGGAGGGCATAACATCCATGAACTCCGGCGGCGAGCCCTCAGCCACGGGGAAACTCACCATGGAAAAGAGCGTCAACTCGAACTGGCGGTCACAGAGGGTGCCCTTGTAGAGCTTGAACGACACGCCTTTGAACTCCATGTCAACGAAGCCCTCCGGGTCGACCCCCTCAGCTGGCCACTGCAGATCGGCATCGCGGAAAGCATTGCCGTGCTCCTTGCGCCACTCCACATCCTTCTTGGCCTCCTTGCGAGACGGGCCTAAGGCTGGAGTGGCCGTGTACTTGGCCATCTCTGACTCCCACTGGTCGGGATTGGCAATCAGGAACGAGTTCATGTCGGGGCCCTGGGGCGTGGGGCGACGCGTTTCCACTCGGGCCCCCCCTCTGCCGCGTGTTGTTCCTCATCCCCCCTCCTCCTCCTTCTCTTCCTCCTCCTAATCAACCTCATCATCCTCCACCTCCTCCTTCTACTCCTCTCCTCCCTCATCTACCTCCTCCTCCTCCTCCTCCTCCTCGATTTCTCGCCATACCCCCTTCTTGCCCATCCACCCCCGCCTGCCCCTGCCCCTCTAGCATCGGCAGCAGCAACAGGAGCAGCGGGAGGAGAAGGACTCGAGGGGGGCGGAGGTATAGGGCAAAGAGGAATGAGGAGGGAGGACGAGCGGAGGGAAGGAGGGAGCAGGCATGATTGACAAGAGTTGCAATGGCCTCGACCAGCAGCGAGCCCAAGAAGCTATCCAAGTAATCGAGGGGCATCGCCGGGGCGGCGGGCGAGTCGTCGGACTCGAACTCCATGGACCAGCCGAGGAAGTAAAGCCGCCGACGAGAAGCAGGGCTCCCGAAGTCGGCGGCGTCGAACGCGAAGGTCTTCATCGCGAACCCGCTGTTGGTGAAGTACTCGCAGATCCACTCCATGTCCGAGGCGTCGTCGGAGCCGTCCTTCTTCTGACCGAGGGACATAACGTTTTCCAAGAAAAACAACCGTGGGCGAAACCGTATGATGTAGTCCGCGATCGCGTGGAATGTGATGGACGTCTCTGCCTCGGGATCTTTGTTCTGAATACAGTTGACGCGCAAGTGGCTCTTGTTGTTCGTAGCGGCACGGCTTTTACAGCTAAAGCCAGCAGCCAGAATGTCAACGCCTGGAACGCGCTGAACCTTCCCCGTCATCAAGTTCACTCCAGAGCGCTTGGTCAGCACGCGCACGTCATCGAACAAGATCTCCGGGGCGAACTCATTCTTCAAGAAGGCGATGTTGGACGGGTCCTTCTCGCACGAGAAGACGTGTCGCACCTGCGGGACATGCTCGGCCATCGACCTCTGCGCGTGGGTAAGTAACACCCTGAAGACATGATTCACGATGTCGCAGCCAGAACATGCCGAACACACTGCGACACTCCCCTCGGTCGACATGGCGAGCAAACCACTCTTGAACGTCTCCATGTCGGCTCTCCTCGAACCACGGTTCATCGCCGACAACATTTTGGAAGCGAGCTTATCGAGCGGGGCCGGAGGCGGCGAGGTCTCGCGCAGGGCCGCGGAGCAGTCCGCGGCCTCAAACAGAGGACTGGGAAGAGGAGGGAAGACAGGGAAAGGTAGGAGGAAGAGGAGGAGGAGGAGGAAAAGGAGGAGGAGGAAGAGGAGGAGGAGAAGGAGGAGGAAGAGGAGGAGGGAGGAGGGCTGGTAGCAGCAGAGGCAACAGCGGGAGGCGGGGGGGCGGGGAAGCAGAGGGAAGTGGAAGAGTTAGCAGGAGCAGGGCGACGAAACAGAGTCGGCGGCGGAGGATCAGCGGGGCGGGTGATCAGCATCAGGAGCAGGAGCTGGCTGAGAAAAAGACCGAGGGAGCAGCGAAGTAGGCGCAGGAAAAGGAGGTGGCGTCGGGGGAGGGGAGGAGGAGGAACGCCTCGGCGCGGGCGCCCTCCGGCGAAGTCAACGCGGCGTCGGCGCGCTCGTCCTGCGGGCAGGCGCGGCGCTCGCCAAGCCGGGGGCCCAGGAAAGGGGAGGGGGCTGAACCCAATGGGGGGAGTAAAAAAGACAAGGGTCGAAAAGGGCGCGATGCCAAAAAGGGGGGCGGGGGGCAGACAGACACGCTGGCGCAACATGCAAGTCGGCCAACCGCTGGCCTGGACACCGTAGCTTGCTACGCTCAGCGCAAGGCACTCGACAATATATCCCCCGCCCCCCTTCCCAAAGTTAGGGGTGGGCGAAACCGCGGGCGTCTACGCACCTTGTGTGTATATAATATATGC